AGTTGAGGATCCAAACTGGAGGCTGCAAGAGGGAGGAAGGAAGGAAGGAAGTAAAGAGGGAGGGAGGGAGGGAGGGAGGAAGGCAGGCAGGCAGGTGGGGTTTTTTGAAGAGACAAGACACCTGTGTCATCATGTCCCTTCATGTCTCTGCCCCCAAGGAGCTGTGCTCTCTTGTCACGTTGAGGGTGGCCTCTGAGGGTCCAAACTGCCTGGAAGGAAGCAGTTTGGCATTTGAACTGTCATTACCTTAGGCACCTCAAGCCCAGTCAGCTCAGGAAGGATGAGGAGCTAGAGACGGTGGGTTGCCCTGGGACTGCCAGGCCAGTGGACCCTGGCCAGGCAGCTGCTATTCCACCTGACCACCCGAGGCCCCAGGCTTCTGGGGAGGATTTTTACTTGCTCATCTGAGCCCTGGGCTCCGTGAGCAGGCCTGTCTGGCTTTGTCAGTGGACCTTGGATGTCCGTCTCCACTCCTGCCTCTGCTACGCACCGGGCATCAGCTCAGGCCCCGCTTTAGCACGGCTCTGCTTCCTTTTCCTCCGTTCCTCCTTCCGCCTGTGTTTGGAAAGGCGGGCAACAGGGCTGTCAATGTCAGACTGTCTGGGGTTCTGGTTCCAGCTCTGCCCCTTATTCGCAGGGGGACCTCAGCCAGATCACTTCATCTAGCTGGGCCTCAGTGTCCTTTTCTTTAAAATGGAGCTGATAGTCAATGGAACCACATGAATTTACCATCGTTACAGGTCAAAACTGGTTGGATACTGGTGACTTTGTGTGGTTCAGCCTCATACTGCCAGCCTCATGGAGCTATGTTGTAGGTTAATGTTCTGTGGGGTGGCAGGTGAGGACTGATACTCTTTGTGCCCCCTGTCACCCAAAAAAGTGTGTGCTCTGCAAGGTGAGGTGCTCCTCCTCCCTCCTTACTCTGTCTCCTGTGAGACTGGGCTCTCCAAACCCCTCTCCTGCTGGCCCCTCCAAATTCCCTTCTCCGCTCCTCTGGCTCTAATAGGCTCAAATCTGCCCCAGCTGATGAAGCCTCTCAGGCTGTCTGGGCATCTTGGGGGTTATCTGCCCAACCAGAGCACACAGATCTCTGTGTGCTCATTGACACCACCTTCTCCTCTTCATGTCTCTCCGTGTCCTGGGGCCTCATCTTCAGATGTGATAGGGTAAGTGTGGGCACTGTGTCCCCCAAGCTAATCACCGGCTGTGGTTGGAGTCAGTCCTTGGCTTTGAGATAGCAGTGGTTGGGTTGTGGCCCTTGCCATCCCTAGAGAGAGAGGGCCACCTGTCTGGGGTGGGGCTCTGAGCAGGGCAGGGTACTGTAGTATGGCTGCTGCTCTTTTGTGGCAGGGCACCTGGTGAAAGATCAGGGTAGGTGATAGGTCCTGGCACCCTCCTCTTCCTTGGGGCTCCTTTGGCTTTTGGGTCAGAGCTGTACTTGGGTGGACTCAGAAACCTGGGTGTGGGCCTGTCTGACTGCTGTGGCCAGTTCCCTGTGGTGGGTCGCCCATGGTGTGGTTGGTGGGATGAGTGAAAAGGCAAGGAACTGACATTTGATGAGCACCTACTGTGTGCCAGTTTGGTCTTTTTGCCAAATGAGTCACTATCCCTCCCAGGGGACAGCAAGGAAAACTCCTGAGCAGGACTTGGCCCATCAAATTCCATCATTTCTCCAAAGAACTAGGATGGAGACTGAACTTGAAAGAGTGCCAGGGAGCAGGGACTCCAAAGTCCTATCTGTCAAACTTCCTTTGGTCAATACTTCCTTCCTTGACCAGGAAGGGAGCCAGAACACCCATTAAGAAA